ATTTGAGGCTTGTTTGCCTCAGTGAATGATGCCCTCGCAGCCAGCGCACGTGCCTTCGATCTAGTCAGTGCCTGCACTATGCCTTCTCCCAACGTTAGACCTTTCTCCTTCAGCATTTGATCTGACTTATTTGAAAATAAGTAAGGATACTGAGGGGGTAGATATGGCGATACCGCGGCTTCCGTTTCCAACGTACCAAATGCGCCTTTAAGGACAACTTTAGCTACGGGAAGGCACTGACTGTTTGCTTCTACGGCTTGTCTAATCCAGGCACAGTCTCCTGAATACTGTCCGGACTGAACAAAGGACGGATGAACTACGTCCATAGTGGCTGCGGAGTCTCTAAGAACCCGACACTGCTTGCCGTTCACGGTAAGGTCGTACGTATAGGGCTCTAACAACTTCATGTTCTCGTCGGCTTCATTTATAGATAAAAAGGCCACCTTTTCTTTCGGGCAATGCTTCGCGAAGTGCCCTGTTTCGTGGCAATTGAAACAAGCCGCCGGTTTTTTTGCCTCAAATTTCCTTTTGCTTGCCTCTGCCGACGCCTCATGGTTAGATGCCTTGTTTTCCTCACCCTTTTGTGCGAGACTTGTCGGTTGTTTTCTAAACGGCGCCTTATTCGGTCGTAGAAATTTTTCCCTTTTTGGCTCGCTGCTTGCCCCGAGGGCGCGGCGCGTAACGAATTCTTCAGCGAGCTCTGCGGCTTTTGTTACGGTGTTCACGTCTGGTCTATCCTGCACCCAGAACCTCACCTTTTCTGGTAACCTTTGATAGAATTGTTCCAGACCGATACGCTCGAGCACCTTGTCATGATTCCCATACGCCTTTGCCTCTTTCAGCCACTCCCCCATGTTGGCCATTAACTTGTAAGCAAACTCCGGGTATGAATCATTGCTCTCTTTTACGGCGTTGCGAAATTTTTGTCTGAAACCTTCCGCTGACAACCTGTATTTCTTGAGAAGGCTCGACTTTACCTCACTGTACTCGTCAGCCTCCTCTTTCGTGAGGCGCGCGATTACTTCTGAGGCCTCCCCCGGAAGTAGGGACAACAAGCGTTGAGACCATGTATCCTGGCTGAAACCTTGCCTTTCACAAGTTCTCTCAAAGTTGACGAGGAACAGCGCAATGTCCTCCCCTCGCTTGTACGATCTCATTAGGTCCGTCATTTTGAACCTGACCCACTCTGCTGTACCGGATGCCTCGCTGCCTCCTGCTCTACTATTATGGCTAATCTCTAAATCGAGGCGCTTCATTTCAAGCTCGTGCTTTCGCATCTTATCTGCTTCGGCTTCTGCCGATTTCCTTTCGGCCTCCGCCGCCTTTTCTTCGGCCTCGGCCGCCTTTCTTTCGGCCTCTGCCGCTTGCCTCTCCTGAATCTCCTCGACACATTCTGACAGCTCGTCATCCTCCGCCCCCAATGCGAGAATCGCCTCTATCAGCTCTGGCTTTCTTTGAGAGTCCGACACCTCCAGATTCAACTCCCTTGCAAGTAGCAACAACATGGACTTTCGCAGGGATTTCAGATTCATGGCTGCCTCCAGTACCGCTGTCTCCGTTCCACAAAGATTCCTGTCCTGCAACTAATTAACCTTGACGGCAACGACAGCTCTAGGTTCCTGCCTTGCCTCAAGTTTTCCGTTAACTTAGTGTACAAATAAAGCTTCAAAAAGCTCTTATACGGAATCCTGCCCTGCCACTGTTAACCTTGACGCCACTGACAGAAAGAGCTTAACCAAGCTATCACACAATTTCTGCCTGACGCAAGTTACCTGTTAACCCAATGACCAAGACAGCCCCTCTCTACCAGCTTTTACTTAACACATAGAGTAAATGCCTGGTAAAATTTAACAGAGAAAGCCGGCACTCACCCATTTCGCAGTCATGTATCCGGCGTCGTGCCTCTCAGAAGTGCCGTTCGATTCCCTCTGGAAGTCGATGAGCTCGTGTCATCCTTCTCCTGTCGTCCCGTTGTTGGACTTCGGGCTCCCTCCGTCCTGTGGTCGCTTTCGGGGTTATCAGCATCCCGCCTCTGCCATCCAGTTGTTGGGACTCCGGGTCCTGCCGGTCTCGTTTTCGGTAGCTGGCCCCGTCGCAGGATCCATCGTCCAACAATTCAGCGAGAAGAAGCGCCCGAACGAACAACAGAGATTTATTTACATGTGGAGAAGTGGTCAACTGACCCAAAGAGAGAAGAGTGAGAGTGATACAAACGTCTTCGGCATTTTATAGCGCCACGTTGTTGACACTGGGCGCCTTGTCCGCATCGTCAGCCAATACGGTGTCCCCGGCACCTCGGCCACGAGGGAGGGGGAAACACCTCTCACAACACATGGAGTGGCACAACCCAACACGATGTCCATATATGGTCCCGGCGCCCCAAAATGTTACCAAACATGGTCACGAACGCACAGCAGACCCCGGAGCTCTCCCAGCGAGAGGAGGAGCCCGAATGGGGAGGTGGGGGTGGACGACACCGTCGGTCAAGAACCGGTTCTCCCCCAAACTCGTCCTGCCCGGTTCCCCAGGGCCGGTCGTAACAGGTTCTTTAACGGGCACCCAAATCTGAGCACACAGGCCTACAGCATTTTCGCCATCGAAAATGCAGCTGCCGCAGCCGGAATTCGATCCCGCGACCTGCGGGTCAGCAGCCCAGTACCTTAGCCACTGAAACCACCGTGGCGGGGCAGAGAAACTTACATCTGAGAGCACTAAAACGCCGGATGCGTAAGGCGGAAATTGCGTGGCATTTGATTTTTTTTTTTAATTTCGCGCACCTTAAACAAACGCTGAAAAAGAAATTAAGCAGCGCAGTTATCTTACCACAGATTGAAAATATGAGTATCTCTGGTTAAGCGCTACAAGTGCAGTATGGAAGATTTTTCTCTAGAGTCACTATTTAATAAGTTCACTAAGCAATTTTTCTTTATTTCCGAGCTAGGAGGATCGGAAAAAATATTCTGGCGTGCTCTATATGGCTCAGAACAACACTGCGCTAATTGGAGAGATGCAGCGCTCGTGCATAATTATTTATTACTTGATATTTTGTACCGAAACACCCTAAACTGTGTTGCTCCCAAGTTTGAATTTATTCTTCTCGTAACCACGTATAGCCACTGTTCTATGGCGTTAGTATCCATTGTGCGGAACAATGGCAGCATACCCCCCCCCGCCCCTAGCTTTTTAGTTAGACAGAACCAAGGGTCATCATCATCATCATCATCATCATCAGCCTGACTACGTCCACTGCAGGACAAAGGCCTCTCCCATGTTCCGTCAGTTAACCCGGTCCTGTGCCTGCTGCTGCCAATTTATACCCGCAAACTTCTTAATCTCATCTGCCCACCTAACCTTCTGTCTCCCCCTAACCCGCTTGCCTTCTCTGGGAATCCAGTCAGTTAGCCTTAACGACCAGCGGTTATCCTGTCTACGCGCTACATGCCCGGCCCATGTCCATTTCTTCTTCTTGATTTCAGCTATGATATCCTTAACCATATTTGTTCCCTAATCCGGGAACCAAGGGTAGGCGTGGTGTAAAAGTCTGAACGATCTGCCAATTAGTAAAATAGAAACATAAGCGCAAGTTCGTGTACAAACACATGCGTTATTCCAGCAGACACTGAAGGGAGATACAAATTATCCCATGCGCGTTGGTTCCCACTGATACCCCACACACAAGTGACGAGTACATTATGCACAGCATGACGTTCATCTCACGAGTAGTTTAGTACTTGACACAGGTAAATGACCTTTGATAAAAGGAAGGCATTGCATACCTGCGCACAGGGGAATGCATATGACGTTCCCCTCACTCCATCCATGCTTGTGACTGGTGGCGAGCAATACGGCCCACTGTTCCGTATTTGCGGAACAGTGGGCCGGAAGGTGCCCGAGCGGGGCACACTTCCAACTAATGCGAGCAGATTCAGGTGGTTTTGTTACGCATTAAGCAAATCTTATACCCTCTCCACCACTCCAGACGCGTGGCAAAACTGCTTAGTCTTCTTGAACACTGCCGCATTTTTTGGTGAAGGCGAAAATGCTTGAGGGCCGTGTGCTTAAATTGAAGTGCACGTACTAACCATGAAATTCACAGTGCGAATGGGCGACCATAAGTGACCAAAACGTACCAGCCCGTCGCAGAACCAGCGACGTTAAGTCTAGGCACATTCCAAACGCATGGCGATCGCCTGCACCCTCCTTCCTGTGTCTTGCTTCTGCGACTCGAAAGGAGAATTCTTGAAGTGGCATTGCAATAAAGAGCAGTGCTAGTTTCATGAAGGGAAGGTAAAATCAACCCTTTTAATCGAGTGCAACCCCTGAGCACAGAACATGGCACCCTTCTGACTTCGCTTGTTGATCGGGCTGTCGTTTTTTTTTTTTTTTTTCGCCAGTGCATTTCATACTATACAGCCTGCAAACTTCGAAGTACAGTAAGTTTCCAGCACATCCGGATCTCTCGCAGAAACATCGCAATTATAAGCGCTCGAATTTGAGCGGCGCAAATCTTCAGCAAAAAAGAAAAAAAAAAGCCCATTTGGGAAATATACGCCCAAGCATTGACTGTGCCTCTCGTACACCTTGGCCCGACATTCCCAAATGAATGCGAAGTTATATAAACACGCTTTTTTTTTTTTTCGCCACATGGAAGCTTCGCCAACAACAGCGTGACAGCCTTTTCGACCATAACCATACGAAGGAGTGCTGCGATGCGGGGAGAAGTAGAAATACTGTATACGCTACATTTCCGTAGGGAGCACATAGAAAAGAGCAAGCGACGCCTACCTCTGGAAACACGCTCTCTCTAGCCGAAAAAAAAAAACCTGTTGCGCGCTTACCATCTCGGAGGCCATAATACCGCAGTACACGCTAGCTACAAGCCAGCACTCGCAGCTGCCACGAAACACTTCTACAGAGGGCGCAGCCTACACAAGTATTTCACGATGTCTCGAGCACCACCTTCATTACCAAGCTCTATAACAGCTATAATGCGACAAGACATGGCGGGCGTAACGGCGGGACGTTCGCAGTCGTTTCAATGTTCACTGCAAGTTGTCCGTAAGTTCCCCCTGAAAAGATACGCTTCCCACGCTTCGAACAAAATAAACGGCCCTCCGAGTGACAACGAAAGTTGGAAGGTACTACACGCATCTCTTTTTGCCCACTCGTGAAAATTCGTAAGTCGTTTTTTTTTTTCTGCAGGTATATATCAGCACTACAGACGACCCTCTCCTGCTTTACATCACGGATACTGACATGTTGGTTGTCAACCAGGGATCTTACAGTCATGTAAGTCACTTGGGTCCCAAAAGACTTTCCCGTGAACCTTTACGTGATGACCCTATTATCTGCCTATAATATCAGGGATTGCACGGTCAGCGGAATGTGCATGTGACGAAATAAATTAAACGCCTGCCCCTGTTCTCTCTCATCAGCATTGTTTTCACGTCACGTTTATCGGCCGCAGCACTGAGAAACTGCCGTGGTATTAAGAGGGTAGAATGTACTAGAAGTGTTGAGTGGCGTGACCGCGCCTGATCCCTCCTGCTTTGCCTGTAGCGGCGGCGCTGCAGTCGAATACTACTGAAAGAGCCGCGTGCAGGAACTGTTATGCGCTTCGGTTCCTCTGTCGCGCTTTCTTGATGCAGATTTCTTCCTACCTGCCCATCGTTCATGTTGCCATAGCCCTTGATGTATGACACGCCAATCTACTGAACTCGAGCTCCATAAAATCTGTTGTGAGAGCTCGAAAATAATTCAGAAAGGGCGTGGCTTATACCGATTTTTTTTTTTGTCGTTACTCTTTCTTCGGTGGTTAGTCGTCTAGAATATTCAGAATAACTGAGCCGATTTATTGGAAGTTGGCTGTGCTCAGAAAGCTGTGAGATTTAAAAAAAAATAACTTTCAAACGCACGCAGAACCAAGAGGCCGTAAGTAGAGAGGGGAGAGGAAGGAAATCTGAACCCCCTACACGACGAAATTTTGTCGTAATTTAGCTTTTCAGGGTATACTAAAATATTTATACTCATTCACAGCGACCACCAATTGCCAAAGTTACGTCATTGTACTGCACACCCCCCCCCCCCCCCTTAAAAAAAAATTCTGGGTAGTCTTGCACCGAACGTTTACAGTTGGCAAAGTTGAATATAGCCAATCTCTGCACAAATGTGCACTGTAAAGTTAACCTTTTCGACAGTATGGCGTCTTAAAACTAGTTCAAGTCTAACGTAGCCGGAAGTCGGACGAAAAATGCACCACCTAAAAATAGTAGCTGTGCCAAGAGGCATTGCATGGATATTGTTAAAGGGGCGGTGAGGTGTGTGTGTGTGTTTACTGTGTACATACACAAGTTAAATTCCCCAAAACAAGATGCAACACTGCCTGCCTACACTTTTGACACTTAATCATAGAACTACACTTATAATTTTGTAATGGCATTACGCCAATAGAATGTTTGGGAAGCAGCACAATTTAAGCTGTCGATACAAAAATGAGAACTGCATGGTTACAATTAATTCACACAGACTAACAGACAGGCTATATATACAATTGGCACTTTTTAATATATTTGTGTGTTGTTTTTATTATGTTTAATATGTAATAGCCTTTCAGAAAACAATAATTGTTATCTTCCGCAAAACTGGTATGATAAAACTGAGTTGTCACCGATATAAATGCTGTGACAACGTTACTTATACTCGAGTTTCTCGTGAAACAATCGAGCGTATGTAGGCTCATATGAAAAAACACTGTGCTCTGGATATCGTAGAGACAGCCGACAAAACGAGCGTATGATTTAATTGCGGTTTCGGTACTTTTCTTTTTGTAGTTCGTCAGTAGCCACTTATGATGCAACGCAGCTCAAAGCGCTGCTTTAGTGAGAAGCTAGATGGATCCGTGCAAATTCCGCTTGACTTCTTTTTTTTTTTTTTTTTTGGGTCGGCAGGTTCTTGAAACAGTGAATGTATCGACGCAATTTCGGCGTGCCTGCATATTCACTCGTGCACCATGGCGCGTAGCAGGTGCGTCCACTGCTCAGAAATGCATTGAATGCGCTAAAAACGAGCAATTACACGCTTCCGCAGGCTACGGCGCGCACGCTCCCAGTGCAGACGCTCCCTAGATTTTCAGTACCATGGGACTACTGCGCCGCCGCTACTGTCGCCAGCCGAAGAATCAGCCAAGATGCAGTGCGGCCGCCTCGGTCATTCCACTGCCCCCTTTTACTACACTGTAACGAGGGTGTAGGATATCCCCGAAGTCCCTGAAAGCCATTGATATAGACAGATTTAGGCCCAGTCTTGTGTCAGTGCTGCAGTGAAGAATGAAACAGAGTGCTTGATATGACATTTCATTTTGCCACACGCAACGGAAGAGGTGCCATGACAATGTAATTGGTTTTACTTACCACACTTGAATATTTTACAGAATTGACAGTTTGTCACACCTTTACAAATTTATAATGTCACTCCGTCACCATGCTAGTGCCACGATTTCCTAGATCACAGCTCAAGAAAGTCTGTGGTTAAACATTACTTATATGGTAACCATACAAAAGAAACAGCTCAAAGATGGCAGTCCATGTCTTTGCACCCTTCAGTGCGCTGTGTGTGACAGATATGCTCCATTGTTTTGGACAGCCCAACTCTGCTTTCAACCAATGAACATACCTTGTCACATCATCTCCACCAGCAAAACTATGAGAACTCAAGTTCAGTTTTCACATGCACTGCACTAGTACATGCCTAACACACTATATACACAGGTAAACCACCCTACCTTTTATTAGTCTTCTCGTTAGGATTGCACCTCTTCAAGAATGAAATGGTCCTACACAAGCAACGCCAAACTTTTCTTCTCTGCCTTCAGTCCCGGTTTTTCGTTTTGTGGTCTACTTGTGAAGGTGGGAAGGTTTAAGCATCTCTTTTTCACATTCATTAGCAGCACTGCTTTTACACACACAAATATGTTAATCTTCCACTCCTCCCCAGTGTAATCGTGGCTACACCCTTCTATTGTATCCTATTCCTTTCCAGGAGTGCGTATTTCTACTAAACTCAAAGGACTGGGTCCGTGGAGTCATGAAGGGCAACAGCATGCTCATCCTGTCTCGCTTTCAAGTAAGCAACTTTAATTTCGCAAGACTTGATCCTAAATAAAAATGTTGACTTTAACATGATGAAATGTGCTTCAAAGCTATACCTTTGTTCATTTCTCAGTAATACATTGCCGCAAGATAGACTGAATATTACGTTCAATTAGATAGGTTTCACACAGACACTGTAGTGCCAAGACATTGGTGTGTCAACATTCATTTAAACTTCTTTTTTCTTCTTTCGTCTAATGCAACTCTGCTGCTTTTCGAAACTTATCAGGGTTAGTGTATTTTTCTCTTATGTAGCACATTCTGATTACAAATTTGGCACAAGTTTACCGAAACAGATGGAGTTTTTTTGCAACCTAGCTTCTGACCGATTATGCTTAGAGTGGTTACTATTGGCATTTAGGTAGATTAATTTACAAGCATTATATATTTTCTCTACTATATCTCCTGCCCCTTTCCCCCAATACAGATGCAAAGGCTCACTCTTCAACACATTTTCAGCATATGCGAAATAGGAAAAAAAAAAGAACATGTGTAGGCAGAAAGAAAATGCATCAAATCTCAGCATTCCAACTATCCCAGCAGACTACTTTACTTGTGCATTTGGATCTTGCAGGGCGACAATGAACGGAGGTTCAGAGTGGAGTTTGACGGGTATGCCGACAAGTCTGCAGTAGAACAGTGCCAGATCTGCACAGAATTGCTGTCGCAATACTTTACATTTCAAGAACCATGTGAACCTGTAAGCAAAAGACTGCTTTTTTGTCTCCTTTCAAACTAGGTGACATAAGACATCTTGCATCGTGAAACAACTACTATAATTTCTCACTATGCATTCTTTTCAACCTACTTGTACACCTGTTGTAAATGTGTTCTTGTGTCCCCGTACAGGCAAGAAGCACAGGAATCAACCCAAATGACTTCTTCAAGCAACAGTTTGAATCGCCCGAAGTTTTGCGCGAAATCGTCAAGGCCTGCCTACAAGATCCTTCATTCCCAAACTTTGTTAAGCAGGTAGACGACACCTTGCAAAGTCTGCTAAGTACGCCGTAGGGTACCACATTACATGTACAAGAAATAACTGCAGACTGATGTTTGTTGGCTAGAATGTTCCAAATGTGAACAATATCTATGCGAAGTGCAATAAGTTTTCTTTTTCTGACAATTAAAAAAAAGCATAAGATACTACCATGCTGCTTAGATGCAATGTTTTGTACTTTATTATGGTGTTTTTACAATGAGTTTATATTTACAAGCACGAATAAAAAATTCATGTGAGTGAGACGTCAATGTCTTCTGTGATGGTTGCACTTGTCAGCTTGGCATGCCTCGTTTCTGTTCTTGTTTAATCTTCTCCCACTTTTGAAGGAGCGTTGGGATGTTTTTCTTGCGGAGAGTAAGTCCGGCGGCCACCTTTGTCTGCACGAAATAAACGGTGCTTTTAGGCAGTCATGCCTGCAACGACTGATCTGACGCATGTTGTCAACTGCTAAAACCTCCCAGTTAAACTAAACTACTGTCTCTGCTGCATTTAGGTTTAAAGAAAGGAGCTGCTTAGACAAGCTACGATATGATAACACTACCTTAAAAAACAGGTATAGACAGATTTTTCAGGCATAACTTCTAATTGGGATTCAGCACGCCTCCGTAGTAAATATGTATCAGATTAAAAAGAGCAAATTAGCATAAATTCCCCACGAAGCTTTCCAAAGTGTCGTGCGGCTATACCACAACAACGCAGCCTAAATATTCTTCACGGAGATAACTACAAATTTTGAGTCAACATCGTATCAAAGCTAACTACTGGTCATACAACGGTCTTGAAAACTGTTGATAGCTCATTCGCCTACAAAAACGACACTGTAACTACAAGAAATCCAAGAAAGCTACACACTCCTTGCACGTGTATACCATCGTCGCATTCAAATAATAATAATAAAAAAGCCATCAGCAAAACCTGGGACTCCTCAAGAAACTCTCACATCTATTGTTCACAGTTTTACCATGTAATGCACACATTAAAAAGTGTGCTAAAGGGAACAAGGCAAGCCCTATACCAGCCATGTATTTTAGGCAAAGTTTATATACCTTTTTCTCCATAACTATAAGAATTACAGTAATTTACTATCATGAGTCATTCCTCTTTTTAGTAAGCAAAGTTAGCAATGGAAACTGTAATGCTCAATTTTTGCAAATTTTTTACTTCAGCTACCTAATTATCACTCAATAATAGCTATTAAATGTCACGTTGCAGCAGCGCACTTCCTCACACGACAGCAATTCTGCTTCAGTATATTCCCTATTACGCTATATAAATACTGGCTGAAATCTATGATTCTAGATACTGTGGCTGTTGAGAAAAAGAAACATAAATAGAGAAAAAGCATGTTTCGAGATAGTTGCATTTAAAGTTGAAAATCTGAATTATTTCGAAGGTACAACGAGACAGCAGCAAATTGATGGACCTGTTCAATAGGTACTAGCCGAATACTCATCACCGATATCATTTTTTTTTTTCTGTGTTGTAACGTCTTGCCTGGCGAGCCTCTTTGGTGCCTGCCAAGCATCCGTGCCAGCACTTCACTGTCAACACAGTTCAAGTGTGCGTGTAGGCTCTGCACTGTGCAATGCCCTACCGAAATTCCAAAATAGTTCAGCACATTCACACGGGCTATAGTGCCATCATTAAAAGTGAACACAGCATCAAGAGTGCATATTTACAGTGTTTGGTGCCTGAGGAAAACATTTTTAGTGCACGTTTCCACACGACAATCTAATAATTCACAATGGTCTTGAATTTTCCCGTGGAGGCATTTAGCAAGTAATTCTCGATGATGTAGTTCCAGATTATTTGCTTTAACAACCTCAATGACAGATGCTGGAAGGTGTTCTTTATGAACGAATGGTTCACCATTCAACTGGTTGAATTTACATTAAGTTTTGGCGTCCTTCAGGAAAAAGCCGTGGGATTGATTGGTATCCTTTGATGTCATGTGAAAATATGTGGAACGGGCAGCTTTTCGCATGTCCTCCAAGCTGGCTCTATTTCTTTAATGGGCCAACGATAATAGTTTTGGTGTCTGCCAATGATGACACCACAAAGACGTCCCCAACTATATATAGATTTCCCAACAAAAAGCTTGATGCCTCTGCTTTCCCTCATTTTCGCAGTCCTGGACGCATTCTTTTCCGAATGAGTCAAATGCTCATTTTCGCAGTCCTGGACGCATTCTTTTCCGAATGAGTCAAATGCACTCCAGCTTGCAAACTCGGACCTTTTCTTATTTATTTATTTATTTATTTACAAATACTGCAGGCCCTGTTCGGGCCTAAGCAGGAGTGGGTAACAAATGTCAGTCACAAAACAGAATATAAAAATATAATAAAATACAATACTATGTACAAAAATAAGAAAATTCTCAACATCAGGGAAAATATAAATAATACATAGCAATAATGGCATTCATCCCGAAATACAAAAAATCTCAGCACTAATGGGGAACATAATATATTGCATATTAAAAATCAAGTGTTAGGTCATTGACAAGATGGGCGAACGATTGTGTCGTGTCCGCATTAACGACCTCCTGAGGTAACTTGTTCCATAATGAAAGAGCATGCTATGATGCGTGAACTGGAAGGAATCCCTTGCTACGTAAAAATGGGGGCATAGCAGGCCGCTGCACAAGTTTTGAAATATGCCCTTTTTAGAGGGAAACAAAAATCGTACTAAGACAAACAAACGACTGATGCTGGTTCAGAAAAAAAACTGCAGACTTCGAATACCACAAAAATAAAAAAATGAATTTTTTCAATATTTTTGCTTAACCTCTCCCCTAAGGGATACGGTTGCACGCTGAGGAGCTTTACGTAGAAAACGCAGTGGAACACAACGGAGAATCAAACTATTTGCAGATTTTACAACAACAAGGTTCTGCTAACAGCACAACTATTAGCAGTCAAGCCAGGAGGAACAAACCTAGGAAGCTGCCCACATAAGTGCTAAATCGCTAAATCAAAATTACTGTATTTACTGGCGTAATTCTCGCACTCTCATAATTCTCGCAACCCCCACATCACCCAACAGAAATACGATTTCTTTTTTTTTTTTCCACAGCCCCGAAAATTGCCGCAATAATGTCGTCTACTTGTTCCAGCCACTGATGATGATAGCACACGCCATCTGGCACCATCTCTTAGGCATCAAGCGTACTATTATTGCACAAAGATTTAACCTAATCCAAGTTAAGCCAAAGTTGCAAGTGCGCGTTGCAGCGTGTTTTGTATGTTGTGTCTGTAATCTTTTCACGTTATGGGGCGATACGGAAGCTACACGGCTGCTTTCAAGTTCAAGGTGATTGATCATGCACTCAACGCCGGCAACAGGACAGCCGTAGGCCCTTTAGAGTCAACGAGTTTTGTGAGTCTGGTGACGGCAACTAAAAGCCACCAAGACGCGTTGGGCCTTCCATGTGGTTAAGACTGGTATGGATGGTAAACTTTATTTAATCAGAAGGCAACTGTGGACAAGATTGTGTTAAATGGCCATCAGCCCAATACTGACGTTGTACGCTAACCTTCTAAGGGCTCCTGTTGAGTGACGAACACAACGCCCACAAGCTTTGCGTACAGTATTCCGATTCTCGACTATTCGCTTGCGCTTTTTGTGTCTCAAATAAATCTCGCCTTGTCCTGAACCTGTGGTTTTATTGAGAGGTAAGTCTTAACTAGTACTTCTCAAAGCTTGCAGTTAGTTGCTGGCGTGCGAATCCCGATTGGCTGCCACTTCGTTTTCTTTTTCGCTCTGTGTGTTTTCACAGAAAGTTTTCCCCACATAATTCTCGCACCCCCCAACTTTGCACCAGTTTCTGGCCAAAAAAAGTGCGAGAATTATTCGAGTAAATAAGGTGCTACACTGCAATTAAAAACTACAAGCAATGCCCCCTATGACTTCAAACAATTGCGTCTAATACCGGTGAAACACACAAACCTTTGATTCCGATCAATGTCAATCAGGTTTAGGCTCAATCAGAATCAGGTGCTCCTATAATGCCATTTTTAATCGTAATAAGGCCTGATCGGGATCAAGACAATACCAATCTGGCTCCTGCATCGTGACCCGACTAACGAATGTGCTAAACTTTGTTTGGATAATTTCATATACCCTGTAGCGCAACCACTTATGCAGTGCGATTAGAAAATCTGATCCTGATGAGCTGTGACAACAATCAAAAGTGGCTGTGTGACACTGCTATCACAAAAAACAAGCCCTCAAAATTAATTCCTGCATTTGAGTACCAGTAACTGTCACAAATAAACACACCTTCTTCTTCTTTGGAGCTGCAACAATCGGAGGAGTGCCGGCTGTATCCTCATCCATCGGCACTCCGTCTAAAGATGTTCCATCCGCAGGCTCCGCTTCGGCAGGCTTTTTGTCCCCACTGACAACCTGAGCAGAGTTAATTACAGGCTCCGCAGACGACACAAAACTGGAGTAGAAGGCAGCCTCGGCAGCGTCGAGGCTTGCACCATCCAACTTCTCCTCTACTTTCTTGTCAACCACGGCATCTTCACACGTTTCATTTTCTTGCTTGACTGCAACCTCCATAGGTGCCTCATCTGCAAAAGTGAATGGATTGGAAAATTAAAGGGACACTAAAGGAAAATAATAATTTATGTTAGAGTGAAAGCTCAATATATGACAATGTCTAAAACCGTAATATTATACACAGTGGTGCCCTACTTACCGAAAAATTAACGATAAATGTACCACATAACTGGTCCCACGAGTTGTATAGTTTGGAAATGATCCCGATGACGTCAGAGCGTCTGACTACAAATAATTACCAGTAATCAAACTAGCTGCAATAAAAAACTTTCCATGCATCAAGAGATGTAATAAAATGCTGCTTGTCTGTTTCTGTTTGACTTAACAAAAACTGCCTGGTTACTACTGGGAATGGTGCGGGTGGTTCGAAAATTCCGTTTTCCCCAGGATAGGCTGGGCAGGTGGTGCATCTAGTGGGGCACAGTTCAAATAAGCAAGCAGAACCATGGCCTGTGAGATGGCAGAAAATTGTTCGATGGCGGTTGTTGCTGTTGTGGTTCCTGCTACTTTCTCTCTGCTGCTACTAATGTCGGTGGCTGCGCAGTAAAGCCAGGCAACGTTGTGCACTGCAACAGTGACGTGGAAAGGACCACTTTCAGACAGAGAATTTGAAGTGCACCACTAAAACGTGATTTTATTTCAAAATAAGCACTTCCTTGGTATAAAAGTAGCAC